CTTTACTCTAATAGTGAGATATAAAGTGGAAAAATGACGCAACTCACCTTCATTCCATCAAACGAGTAAATTCTCTCTCTGGGAGCAAAAATTCTCTCTCTGGGAGCTTCGATTCCTCCAGTTGGAGACGCCATTTTTCACTCAATCCATTTTCATCTCTAATATAATCTGGTGCAACTAAGATAGCAGGGATTAATCCCGTCATGTCACACAAAATTAGCGGGGGTATCGAAGAGGAACTAGGGCAACGATTGAAGAACATTGTGCTCTCGCGTTCTGAAGGGAAAGTTATTGAAATTGGGGATGACGATGTACGTTCTAGCAACGAAGAATGTGATCGCAGCCTACTGGGCAAGGTTGTCGGAGAACGCCGAGCTAGCCTCTATGGGCTTAAACGCACTCTAGGTCGAATCTGGCAAATCACAGATCCGTTAGAAGTCAGAGAACTGAGCAACAAATTCTTTCAATTTATTTTTGGGAATAAAGAGGATAAACTGAAAGTGCTAGCGGGCACCAACTGGATTTATGATAATCGGTACCTAATTCTCCATGAATGGAAAGAGGGCTTATCTGCAGAAAACCCAGTCTTCAATTTCCTTAACCTATGGGTTCAAATCTACAAAATTCCACTACACTGGCTAAGCCCGGAAGTGGGAATTAAAATTGGGCAGATTTTTCAAGAAGTAAAGAATGTGATGGTGATTAAGGGAGGGAGACTTCGAGGTAATTACTTGCGTCTTCTGGTGACAGTCAATCTTGAAGAACAGTTACCAAGAGGAACCAACATAAAACTGCATAATCAGCTAATTGGTGTCACTTTCCTGTATGAAAAGCTTGTAAACCTGTGTTACTATTGCGGGAAAGTTGGTCATCTTGACAGGTCATGTGCTAAAAGAATGGCAGACATAAAAAATGCCAGCTTAAACAAGGGCCAATTTGGAGAATGGATGAAAGCTCTTGACAACTTCAACCCAAATTGGTCTAATAGCTTTCCCTCGCAGTCCAATCCCTCTTCAGAGGGAACCCCAAGAAACAACATCACAACACCTAATAGCGCAGGTTCAAGGAAGGAGAGTGCAGAAACAGAAGGGGCTGAAATGAGGGTTTAAATGATACCACAAATGACTTGGGATTGGTTATCATGGAAGTTCAACAGAATACTTCTAAAGGCACAGGCAAGGACCCAGAACAACAGATTTCCTCTGCATTGGTGCAGACAAACCAGAGTGATAGAGTAACTTCCAACCATCAGGAGATTGTCATGAAGGAGTCTACTCTCACCTTAGCATCCCAAGAGTTAGATGAAGAGGCTGACAATAAGAACAAGAAGGAGTTGATATCTCAGGAGGATATCATTATCCCCCCCTCTTACTGAAAAGAGATATCAGCTCAAAACTTGGAAAAGGGCAACTATTCAAGTGGGTAGGCTGCAAAGCAAGATAGAAGGTGAAGGTACCAGTTCCAAAAGGGGCAGGGATGATTCCCAACAGCCCGAAGAAGAAGACGGGGAAGCAATTCAAATGCATAAAGAATCTAAAAAGCCAAAGAACTGTGACAAACAGGTGGTGGTGGCCAACTTTGAATGGCCACAAGTTTCCCAATGAAGACAATCCTGTGGAACTGTAGAGTCTGGGTGGGCCCTCTACAGTCTCCCATGTCAAGGAAGCCATTAGGCTCCACCACCCAACATTGGTTTTTTTATCTGAAACCAGAAAAACAAAAGAGTTCTCAAAAACAGTTAAGTAAAAAATTGGGTTTTGAAAATAGATGGTTAACCAGTGATCCTACTGGTCTGAGTGGTGGGTTGCTATTGTTATGGTCCAGAGATGCAGAGATACTGCAGATTAAAAATAACCACTTCTGTATGGAGATCAAGGGGGAAGGGGAAGAGGGGAACAGCTGGGTGATTCTAATCTATGCTAGCACTGAAAGAGGAGAAGAGAATAACAATGGCACTATTTGGAAGAAACAAGAATGAATTGGGGTACCAAGTGGATAGTGGGAGGTGATTGGAATGAGATTTGCTCTGGAGAGGAAAAGAGAGGGGGCAATGCTCGTAGTAACACAAGCTGTCTGGCCTTCAATAGTTTCATAGCCAGAATCGGAATGCTAGAAGTCACAATGACAGACAACACATTCACATGGGGTAATAATAGGGAGCAGGAGGGCTACATTGAAGAGAAGCTCGACAGGGTATTTGGATCTTTGGAATGGCTAGCCATCAACCCCACTGCACAGGTAAACAGCTGGTTTAGGAATTCCTCAGACCACCTCATGCTCATTCTAAACTCCAATCCAGTAGGGGATATAAAGAAGAAGAGAAGATTCATATTTGATACCAGATGGGTAGGGGGTCAGTGATGTGATCAAAGATGTCTGGAACTAGCAGCAAGAAGGGACCCCAATGTTTAGGGTTCATGAGAAAATAAAGCATACTAGAATTGCCTTGCTGAATTAGAACAGAGGGATTGAATCAAATTCTGAGCACAAAATTAGGAGACTATCTGCTCAATTGGAGGACATGAAAACCCGGGGAGGAAACAGAGATTGGCTTGAATGGGATAGAGTTAAAGAGATGGACAAGGCCTATGAGCAGGAAGAAAAATTCTGGAAGCTAAAATCCAGGAACCAGTGGCTGAGAGAAGGAAACCGCAACACCAAATTCTTCCATGCTTTCAAAGAAGAAAAACAAATGCCATGTCCAGACTCATTGATTTGAATGGAGTGATCAGATAATCCAAAGAAGGCATCACTAATTGTGTGACTGATTTCTACAAGTTCCGCTTCACATCAGAGGGATCATGGGGAGAAACACAGCTGCTACCATAGTTTTTAAACCCGGCCCGGTGATCGACCCGGGCAGGTCCTCGGGTCACCGGGTCACCGGTTCAACCGTCGGGTCACCGGTTCAACAGTCGGGTCACCGGGTCAATTGCTGAACCGGATAATTAATTTTAAAATTTTTATAGTTATATATATAGTATTTTTGTTATATAAATATACATAAAAGTAACAAAATTAAATGTTTTGTGTATAAAATTTGTATATTAAAGTGTTAATAATATGTATCTCATGATAAATATTTATCATAAAAACATATATACATAGTTTTATTTTTAAAAAATAAAAAAAATTAAAAAAATTAAAAAAAAATATATGGACCGGGTCAACTGGGTTGACCCAGTCGGGTCAATGCCCCGGGTCGACCGGGTCTCTACCGAGTCGGCCGGGTTTTGACCGGGTCCTTGGTTGCCCGGTCCAAATATTCCACCCGGACCGATTCCAGCTCCGGGTCGACCGGGTCACAAAACAGTGGCTGCTACCACTGATTCCTAAAGTTATTGGGGAGGAAGACAATAGCATTCTCACAGCCAAGGTGGATGAAGTAGAAATCAAAGAGCTTTGTTTAGCCTCAATCCTGAGAAGGCACCTGGCTCTGATGGTATGTCACCAAACTTTTTTCAAAACTACTGGGAAATCATTAAAACTGATATGTGTGCAGCCATTCTCAGTTTCTTTGAATCTGGCAAAATGCTAAAAAATTGGAATCATACCATGATCACCTTGATCCCCAAATGCCAAAATCCTTCAGTCCTGAGCAACTACATGCCCATTAGCCTATGTAGAGTGGCATACAAAATAATCTCTAAAATTCTCACTATGAGACTGAAGCCTTTCTTAAACAGATTTATTAATGTTAGCCAGACTGCCTTTGTTGAAGGAAGACAATTGATTGATAATGTAATTGTAGCCCAGGAGGTTATCCACTTTCTTAATAGGCACAGGACTGGGAAAAAATGCTACATGGCCTTAAAGCTAGACATGATGAAGGCATTTGATAGGATAGAATGGAACTGTATTATCAAAATCATGTTGAGACTGGGTTTCCATTCTTCCTTTGTTCAGTGGATATTTGCCTGCATTTCTATAGATTCATTTTCTTTCAATATAAATGGTGATATGTGGTTATTTGGAGCTTCTTAGGGGGATTAGACATGGGGATCCTCTATCCCCCTATCTTTTTATCATTGTGTCTGAAATGTTCTCAAGACTCATCAGAAATGAAGTCAGAATGGGGAATTTCAAGGGGCTCAATTTGGTCAAAAATGGAACCGGTCTTACACATCTTTTTTTTGCAGATGACTCCCTAATCTTCTGTGAAGCAAACACATCCCAAGCTGTTTGTTTGTTGCAAATCCTTCACAAGTACCAGTTATTCACAAGCCAAAGAGTAAACATGGAGAAATCCTTAGCTTTTTTCAGCAAAAACACACCTGCTGCTACCCAGCAAAGCATCTGCCAAACCTTACAGGGTATTACAGTTCAAAGATCTTCCAGATATCTTAGAATGCCTTTGGGCATAGGGAACTCCAAGAAGGAGTCCTTCAGTTTTGTGATTGAAGCTGTAAAAAACAAACTCATTAGCTGGAAAAACAAATACCTGTCACCTGCTGGCAGAGAAGTCCTAATCAAGTCAGTACTCAATGCTATGCCAATTTTCATTATTTCATGCTTCTGCCTTCCTAAGGGCCTCTGTCAAGAAATATCTCAATTGTGTGCCAAGTTCTGGTGGAGCTCTGGTGATGACCAAAAGCAAGGGATCCATTGGAATGAGTGAAAACTAATGACAACTCCAAAGCACTGGGGAGGCTTGGGTTTCTAGGATGTGCAGCTTTTTAATGAGGCCATGATACTCAAACAGATCTGGAGGGTGGCCACAAATCCCAACTTGCTGGTGAGTAAAGTGCTCAAAGAGAAGTATTTTCCCAGGGGATCCATTTTTTAAGCCAGCAAGTCCACCAGTTCTTCGTGGATGTGGAACAACTGGATCAAAGTGAAGAATGCCTACCAAAACCAATTCAGAATGGAGATTGCTGATGGACTGAGTTCAAAAGTATGGCAAGACCCATGGATACCTGACCTTCCCACTGGAATTCCAACTGGGAGAGCAAACAGCAGGGGTACTCTCACTAAAGTATCTGAACTGCTGAATGAAGGGAGAAGATCTTGGAACCTAGAATTGCTACATGAGGTGTTCACTGCTGCTGAAGTTCAAGCAATACTCAACATAAAGACATTGAAACCTGATAAGAAAGACAGATGGTGCTGGATTGGAAAAGGCAATGGTCACTTTTCTGTTGCCAATGTCTATACACATCTGATGCTGCAAAAAACCCTGAGGATAAACAGGTCAGAGAGCAGTACCTCTGCAAAACATGACAAAGCTGCAAGAGAGAGATGCTGGAAGATGCATATTAAAGGAAAAATCAAACATCTCATTTGGAAATCCTTCTCTGACTCATTGCCCACAGGAGTTATCTTAAAAAAGAGGGGTTTAGATGTGGACCACATGTGCCATTGTTGTGGGGAGGCTCCTGAAACAGGTGAGCACCTTTTCTTCCAATGTCCTAGATCACAGTTAATATGGCAGCTGCCACCATTAGATTGGGGGGAATCCATGAGTGACATTCAGAGCTTCAGAAATTGGTGGTGGCGGGTGGCCTCTATGAACAGGAAAGAAATTGATGAACACAGAATCCAATTGTCCACATATATCTTATGGTGGATTTGGAAGACACGGAACCTTTGGCTGTTCTAAAAAATCTGGACATCAGAGACTGAGGTGGTTAGACTGGCTATGGATGATTGGCTTGATTTCAATGGTTGCAACTCACCCCAATGAGATGCTGTGTAGGTTCTTGTTATGGCAGACATAAATGAAACTTAGGTCCTTTGGTCAGTTGGCTTTAGTTATGTTCTATTTCTTTTCTTCAGTTTAGGTCTTTGTTTGTATTGGCTGGTGTTTTTGTTTGTTTCTGAAGGTAAAGGGATCAAATGCATGTATTTGCTTTCATCTTCAAGGTTGGTTGTATTGTTTAGGTCCATTTTCTAGGCCACAGGTTGTTATGGTGCTCCTCTTTATTATTAAGAGCTAGTTTGCTCTTCAGTTTGTAACTCTCAACTATTATTATTTTGGTGCTATGAGTATTCCTATCGTTCCAAAAAAAAAAAAAAAAATAAA